GTCCCACTATATACTGAAAATAGAGGTTCCAAAACCTACCACAATATCGCTGGCGTCTGAAAAACTACGATATGAATATAGCTGTTGTAGACGGAGTGAAGTCAGCTGAATTCAAATATTTAAAATATTTCATGACTGAAAATGCCAGTATACAAAACCTCAACTATTTACGTAGTACAAAAGCAAGCGGATTGGTCGGTCCTTGTTTATTTCTCCATCTTATTCTAATTAATTTTGGCGCTTTTATCCTATGCTACTGCAGGGCCACCCTTATTGTACGCGTTTTTAGGGACACTTTTCATATACAGAGTATTATAATAGATTAACAGTGGTAGAGCCAGGCGGCAGCTTTTGCTGTCGCACGGATGGGCTGGCTCGAACCGGGGTGGTACCACGACCTCACAGAATACCAGCGTGAAGTAGAGGTTTACCTCTGCGTTTCGCTTGGTGAGTGCAGGTGGCCGGAGGCCCTTTTTACTGGAAATGAGGCATTCCATCCTGGTCCTCACGGGTGACAACGCATCTATATTTTGATTCGCAAACGAGGATAAATGTAGATGTCTATGGGCCGCAGCAACCACTTACCATCAGGTGGACTGTGTGCTCGTTTGTCACTCTGTCCTATAAAAAAAAAAAAACAGAGATTGTCCTCCTTCTACTCTACACTCCATACATTTTTCTAAGAAATTATCTTCCCCGATATCAAATCTGTCAAATGATTTACCTCATTGTAAACTGGCGCTGGTGGCAGAAAAAGTCGTTGTTTAAAATTGGTTGCGGCATGGCGCAATTTTGAATTTACACAATGAGCTAAGCAGTAAACTGTGCCTGAGTTTCGGAGTTAACGCAAGGAATTTCGCTGAGTTACCAATGTCTACGTCAAAATCTCCTAAGAACTTTGCAGTGTGACGCATCAGCATATTGTGAAAAGTTTGGGAACAAAATACAAATCAGACAAGGCTGTATACTATAAGACCTTTGCCTGCCTCAATTCTTATGTCATTGACTATAATAAGCGGCTCTTGCCGCAGTGTTTCCACAATACTACCTATTTTCCCTTTTCTAGGGAATTCAGACTCCAAAGAGGACGAAAAAGAGGTCTGGAGAGAGCAAGTCATGAATAAATTATAATGTGAGCGGTGGGCTTTACATTATAATTAATTTTCACTTTTTTTCGTCTACAATCTCATGTTTTTGATTAACTAGAAATAGTAGGTGTATTTGGGCTGCGGAAGCCACTTAAATCAAATGAACTTGAGTTCTTTTATCACTTCAGTTTTATAAATAAACATTGATATTTGAATTGACAGAATTTTACTTCATAGTTTTTGAAGGGAAGTAAGGCCTTAAAAGTGCGAAAACTTAATTGAGGTCAGTGTTACCAGATACACAGTCATTACCGTATTTTTACTAAAACACGGTCTTAAGTAAGGATCTATCACCGTGTCGTATACTGTAGCATTTTTAAAATTAATCACCGTGTAAATAATAGTCGAATTTGAATCTGATATTATAAAAAGGCGTAAAACGAAACGCATATTCTAATTAGGTAGACTTAATCAGCAACACCGGCCGCTACTATTCGAGAAATCCACCAAATATTCAATTGATTGCCAGGTCATATAATCCGAAAAATAAAAAAGATGGCAGTGGTCTTTTCTTTTGTATACCTTATTATATTAATCTCTAAACTCGGAATATGTATGAATTCATACGCATGATTTTGTCATACCTTTGGCTCGGAATGCGTACGAATCTATGCGCATATACCAAAAAATAAAAAATCTCGTGTTAGTATTACCATCTCACTCTGGGCATACTAATTTTTTTTAATTTGTTTATGTACACACAACAAGATACAGAAACAGTCTTATAGTGAGTTTGTACAAAGGTTCTACTTATTCTATAATTTGCTGAAATATCTTCCAGTAGACCCACAAAGGAAAATATATTTAAAAAAATATATTATATTTATATTATTATATATTTATTTAATAAATTTTGATGAGAAGAAAAGAGAAAATAAAACGTTGTTTGATTTGGTGTATAATGCTTGTTTTTATTGTCTTTTTCATTGAGTTCCATTATGAAAACAGTTGATTCAATCGTGCGGTGTTAGTGGTGACAGAAATAATTATTTTTAGTACTAATTTTATCATGAAAAGCATAAAACTACATTAGTAGGATTTTTAATTATATATTTATGATTACAAATACCATAAAAGAAATAAAATAAATATTGTCGTTTTTGTAAGTGTCGGTAAATATTTGACCACGACGTCATGACACCGCGCGAGCTTACTAGTATAATGCCAGATAGCTGTCAACTGAGTCTAAGGGTTAAAATTAGTAGTCTGTTAATGGATTAATGGAATGTCATTACATTTCTTGGAAATTTTTTTGGCTGCTTATTGGTACATAAAATATTTTTTTACGAATTTAGACAATACAAAATCATTATTGGCAGCGAAGACAATGACAATGATAGTTATGAGACTGACTCTGAAACTGGACCGACATCCTCCAAAATTGCAAGAGCTGGATGAAAAGGTCAGTATTACCTAACAAAAGTTCAAAGATGAGTGGTTATATTAAGTTACTTTATTATTTTGAAACTATTTAAATCACCTCATTCTTGATACACACTATTAAGTAATATTTTCATTGTTCACAGATAGCTCAGCTGAAGAACCAAAGTGGAGAAAATATATTTAAATTTCTGCCATTTTTTTATAGAATAAGGGTGACAGACGAGCACATAGTCCACTTTGATGGTAAGTGGTTGCTGTGGCCCATGTACATCTACATCTATCTTCGTTTGCGAATTAAAATGCAGATGCGTTGTCACCTGTGAGGACTAAGATAGAATGGCTCTTTTCCTTTTCTTTGAACTTTACTTAAAATACGAATATTTTAGTCTGCTAACACGGTAGTTTGCAATTTTCATCTGGTCATTATTGAGGCGTGAGGAACTTAAACTAGGGGTTTTGACGGGAAATTGACCGGCGGCGGTTTGCTGCTCCTGTATTATTGTTTAAATAATGGTTTGAAGTGGACTTTGATATGTAAAAGTGTTGCGATTTTGTGTATTAAGTGTCTACGCATGTGAACTATTAGTGGAAACAGTGAAACAAGTGCTCTGATGGTGATGGATTCTCAAGATAAGCTGTTTGTTTGCATAGGCACCTTTAGATACCATCGCCAACTATCAGCTGTCTGCTGGATCAAGTTGCCGCCAAAATCTCCCAAGAACTGCACAATGTGACGCATCAACATATTGTGAAGCAGTATACTATGAAGGAGTGGGGAAATTACAATAAACCGAACAAAAATACTTAAGACTTGGCCTAAGGGTCTAGATACCAGGCCATAAACTCCAAAAAAAAAAAGAACTTAAACTATTAAAATGGAAACACTTTCCCGGCTCGCGTCATTTATTCTACATATATATTTATCTATGCATTTATTGTTTGATTTTGACATTACATATTGTTAACCAAATTAGTAAGAAATCATCATTAATTTTAAACTTCCATTAATGTTTAACAACTCTTAAAAATGGAAATATAAAAGTATAATAATAAACAAAATTGCAAGCTATCGTAGTTAACAAAAATTATTATATTTAGAAGATGACTTCCATCATAAAATTACACTGTCTTTCCGGAGCTGGTGATGAATCTCCACCCTGTTACGTTCTTCAAATAGATGAATTTAAATTTCTTCTAGATTGCGGTTGGGACGAAAAATTTGATATAGATTTTATAAAAGAGTTGAAAAGGTTAGATTTTTAGATTATGTTTTTGTATTTAAAGTTCAAACTGTAATGGCACTATTAAGGCGGCTATCTAAGGTGTACAGCGATCAGGGTCAGAACTGTCCCTACAGTCTACACACATGTCTGCCCCTCAGTATGAAAGTGTATGTGTCACTGGACACGCGTTGAGATTGGCGCCAATTATATCGAAATATCAATGAATTGCTATATATAGCCTTGACTCTTGTCTATAGAATAAGGGTGACAAATGAGCACAGTCCACCTGATGGTAATTGGATATTGTGGCCTCTACATCTACATTTATAGATAAAACAACTAATTAATTAATAATTACAACCATAATATAGTGCTTTAACTGTGCTTATAAGCTGCAGCATGGCTCTACCATGTACAAAAACGTTACCACGTTCAAATAACGTAAGGAGGCAATTAACAGTCATCTCCACACCTACTCCCTAGATTGCCCCTGTGGCAGGAAAATGAGTAACCGTCTTTAGATTATCATAAGAGCAACTTGCGAGTTATTTGTGGATAAGTATGACGCATTTACATAGTCGGCTGTATTCATTCAACTTAGATCTTGTAAACATGGATGACGTGCCTCTCATTAGTATGACTTTGTCTATTAAATATTTATAGACTCACAAATATTTATTTTTATGACTAATTATTTAAAACGGATTTCTAGGATCCGATATCAGGTGTTATCTTTGACTTCCTAAAAGGAGACGGTACTCAATTCAACTGTACGTTTTTTTTATATGTGTTACCTCATAACTTTTTACTGGGAGAATCGATTTCGATAATTTTTTTTTATTTGAAAGGTGGTACTTCTCGTGTGGTCCCATATGAATTTGATCAAGGTCAGACCAATAGTTTTTGAGTTATTGTTAATAACTCATATTGAAGTCGGCTGTACAAAATTTTTAATTTTTAATTATTTTGGATAACGTTAGCCCCACACTATGATTTTCTCCTGTATTGTTGTACTTTACAAACATAAATTGCACAAGAACAAACACCCAGACCCAGAACAATTATTTGTAGACCATACAAATACTTGCTACAACTCATTACTAAGCCATCATTAAAAAAAACATAAAAATAGTGGATTTGTTAGTCCAATCCATCACAGTAGATAAATATTTTTCTTTTATTTTATTTTTTTATTATTTTATAAGAAAAATTATAACCATGTGCAACAAAGTTCATGGGCCAAGTGAATAATGACGAGTATGTAAACACTGATACAAATACATAGGAGCATTCCTTTGACTCTTGCTAAAATACCGACATTGAGTGGAGAACAGGTGAATACTCGGGTCGAGTAGTGAGAACATCCATAGAAGGCACTTACATGTCAGTAATGCCTACTTGTCTGGACTCGGCTAGTATCTAAACATTGCATTATATCAGTATTAATGAAGATTAAAGACTACTATTAAATGTGGCTTTACAATAATTTTACAAATTTTTAGGCATGTCAATAGTATTGATGCAGTCCTTCTTTCTCACTCGGATCCTCTTCACCTTGGTGCCTTACCATTTGCAGTTGGTCAACTTGGCCTCAACTGTCCAATATATGCTACTCTTCCTGTGTACAAGATGGGTCAAATGTTTATGTATGATTTGTACCAGTCACATCGGAATGTATCAGATTTTGATTTGTTCACACTGGATGATGTTGATGCAGCTTTTGATAGAATTACACAGTTAAAATACAATCAGAGTGTTGATATGAAAGGTATGTATTGTAAATAGATGTATTTGTATTAAATAATTAAGTAAATAATATTAACCTAATAAAACTTACATATTGATGTCCAGCCTCGTCTATTTTAATTACAGCAGATTCACGATAACTTAATTTTATACAAGATTTAATTTTGATAAGAGAATTTAATTTTACTGATATTTAACTGGTTCGTTGTGGCACCAATTTTCGACAAATTTTAGCTGTGGCGGCGAACAAATATTTCTTGACTCGCCTGGCGTGTCGAGCGCCACAGAAGTTGATGACACGCCTATTGTGCCATCAGCCATGTGTAAAAGTAATGTTCTTTTTATGCTTTTTTCACTTGTTTATACCTAATTAAGCTCAGTTGACATCAAACATCAGTTACAAACGGCAGAATACTTGTTTTTAGTGGGTAAGTACGTGTTTTTCTAGGTGTTTTCTTTGAAATTGAGAATAAGTGACTTTTTTATGCATAGATTACAAACATTTTGTACTATTTTTTGTTTTATAAAAAAATCATTTATATAAATAGCTACAGCTAAATGACCCCGGAAAGCCCTGGTTTTTATTAAATTAAATTTTCACCTAATAATAATAATAATAACATTTGTAAATATCAAACAATCAAGAACCTTAACTTGGAAAAAAATAAGGTTTGTGATTCATTGATACTTACAAAATGTTAAATATTATTTAATGTTATTCAAATGTTAAAGTACAGTTGATCTGAAAACGTCTAATTAGTAAGAATAGCAAAACAATTGTTTTCAAAAGGAAACAAACGCCGGTGCTATACGGCGGCGGATTGACAAAAGACTATTTATTAGCGAACTTTTTTTATGCATGAACGGTTTCAAACTGTTTCAAGCAAAAATAAACCTTATACCATATCACAAGAGCACATGGTACTCCGTAGGTCTATTCGGCCATATGATAGTAATAAGACGGCAGTTCAACCATTTTAAACAATAAGACAAATGCATTGTTTTTTGAACAAGAGACTTGTTTTCCAGTAATTTATTTACAACTTGAGTTTGTGAGCGATCACAATGAGTGCTATTATTTGTTACTTATTAGACTATTTTTCCACAACCTGATTGAAAACCCACAAAGTAAAAAGAGTACCATGTACAAGTTAAAAAAAGGTTGTCAACCCCTAAAAATTTCAAATTTTCAAAATATCCAGAAACGAAGCTGCAGGCATGAACTACTTGCAAAATAATGAATATTTTGTTCTGGATAAATTTTCCAAAAACGCAATTTGTGCGAGTTATAACGATTTTTAAAAAGACACGACTCGCGTGTCATACGCCATACACAAAAGTAATCGATGGCACGCCTGGCATGTCACCTGCACTGAACCGGTTAAATTAACAATACTGAAGCTGTTTCATGCAATATTATTACTAGAATGGCAGAAGTGACTTTATTGCTTTTTAAGATATAGTTTGATGTCCATACAAATAATGTATAAACAAATTCCTTTGTTTTCTCCCTAGATAATGATACTAGAGTAAATTTTATTTTTGCAATACAATTTATAATCTACTACTGCTAAGTACTAGGTTTTTTTTTCATAAAGTTGTTACGTTTTTTATAAATTAATTATTTCAATAATTAGGAAAATTCTCAAATACCTAAAACTGTTCAGTTATAAGGTTATTAAGGATTCCATAAACAATTTTATGACATAGCAGCATTAATGGATCAGCTCGACTGGTTAAGGACAACACTCACATAATACCAGCGTAAATTTGTAGCTTAATGCTGATATGTTTTGTATGATCAATGTAAAGAACTGGATACATTTTAACCGGTACCAAGTCATTCTATCATGAGTCTTCTGGGATACCAATACAGCATTGACTTACCGTCAGGTGTTCTATGTGCTCATTTGTCACATTTATTCTAAAAAAAATTTATTAAAGAAACATAAAAGAAAAACATTCAGTCACAAAACATCTTATATTACTTTCCCAAAAAATCAATTAACCCTTTCGCTGTCATGTGCACTACATATAGGTCATTGCTATTATCTTACTATTGCGTCTGAAAATCGGACAGTGAAAGTGTTAAGATCAGTCCAGGAAGGAAGTAAGCAGGGATAGATGATGATTTTTAAATTTATTTCTAATTCATATTTTATTTCTCTTGGTTGTCTAGTTCTTCTATCCAGGCACAATGTGAAACAATAGATTGTTAAGAACGTATTCTTCAAATATAATGCAGCCCAGATAATATTATAAGATTTTTCCTTTGATTACATATTAATTAAAAGAAATTTAAAATATTTTAATGTTGCAGAAAACCTTTCACTAACACAATTTTTGTTTCGAATTTACACATTTTTAATTTTGGCCGATTTTGGAGAACTAAATATAACAAGCAAATCTTATATTTTACTGTATCACTAATGTACCACTTTAGTAATAAATCTTAAAAATGCTTAAACGAGAGTGCTTATAGCAATTCCACGGGGGCACGGCAGTGCACCCGCCAAGTCGCACAAAAAAGCGACACGGCTGTACCATCCTTTTCTCGAAGCAATTCAGGCCATTTTCGACCCCCTATAACTTCGTTGTGGATAAAACTAGAAGCATATAAGTCAATTTATTTATATAAAATATAAAAGAATTTTAGTATTGATGTGGTCACTATAAGATGTTGTTAGGTTAGCTAATTACGTAATAACTTAAGACAGAAGGACCCTTAAGTAGGGAAATTAACCGACTTGGTATTACATGGATCTCAAAACTTTTTACGGTAGAGGAACTGAGTTGCGAGACTTGGTTTTTTTACAAGTTATGTTTTCGATGCATTAATATAATACTCTAGAAACTGAAACTTTTATTAAAAACTAACTTCTCAATTAAATAACATTGTGTAACAAAAAACTTTACCTCAGTGTCAACTAGTGACATCTGGGGAGCAGAAAATTATTAGCCCTCATTGGCACGTGCTCGAGGCCAACTGAAGACACCGGGTTCTGATACATTTTAAAATACTGGGAATATTTCCTTCTTTCTTATATCTATAAATAAAATACTATTCATTATGACTGAAATTAATGTACATTAATAATTATTTGCAGGTAAAGGGCATGGACTGAGAATTACCCCCATACCTGCAGGGCACTCTCTTGGTGGAACGGTATGGCGTATAGTGGCACCGGGCGAAGAAGATATAGTGTATGCACCAGACTTCAATCATAAGAAAGAACGGCATCTTAATGGCTGCGAAATTGAGAAAATAATGAGACCGTCTTTGCTTTTGCTTGGTGCAGCAAATGCTGATTATGTGCAACAGAGACGGAGAATGAGGGATGAGAAGCTTATGAGTTTGTATTTTTTTTATTTTCTTATGAACATTATTTTTCATTAAATGCATGGAGGGCAATTTTGTCACAATTTATAATACTTGGAAATCATTTTAGTTTTAAAAAAAGCAATTTTTATTTAAAACTAATCCAACAAGTTTATCAGTCAAATGAAAGGCTATAAGGCTGTTTTGGAAACATAGGGCAATCACAATTCCACACTTTGTTTTCCACATAATTATAACCCTGTTGAGATTCGAACCTAGATTATGCAGGCTATAAGCCAGTTTCTATATCTACTATGGCACGCGGCCGCCAGATCTTACTTTTAAGGCTGCTCTAGTCAATCATTTTTCTATACTAACTAGATAAAAAAGATCAATGTTCAGCAGTGGAATTTTGATAAGCTATTACAGATGATGACGATGATGTTATGATATTACACCCAGTACTGTACTTTAAACTTTAGTGGCGTGGCAGTTTAAGAATATTCACTAGATACCCGTCCCGGGGATATCGTAAGAGACGACAGAGGGAAACTGAACCAAGAGATGGGCAGGAGCATTTTCTTATAACTACTGAAATGCATTTGCCATCCCGCTTGCCAAGCGTGGCAACTAACTAGATCTAACTAGATCTGAGTCTATTGGAGAGGATTGTATTCAGCAGTGGACTTTGGATTGACTGTTATGATTGGTTCTGATTGGCTGATACTGCATGCGTAACTGTGCCCAATTGTGCAAAATATTTCTATTGTTTTTTTTTTTTTACTTATTATATAAGCTTGTACTACATTTCCACCTGATGGTAAATAGTGATGAAAAACTCTAGATGGTAAATCGCACTGTCTCAGCATAACAAAAGCCTATTCGCTCTTGCCTTGAAAACGCTTAGATTGTAATCGCAGAGAAAGATAGTTGCGGTTTATTCCACTAAAGACAAATTGTCATAATAATAATGACTCTGTTTATCGCAGCAACAATACTTAGCACTCTCCGCGGTGGAGGCTGCGTTTTGGTGTGCACGGACACGGCTGGCCGAGTACTGGAGCTGGCTCACATGCTGGACCAACTCTGGCGCAACAAGGACTCAGGACTCGTTGCATACTCACTCCTCCTGCTCTCCAATGTTAGCTACAATGTCCTCGAGTTTGCCAAGTCACAGGTCAGTACTTCACTGTAGCTTTACTGTGCGAAATATTTTTTATGTAAAATATTTTCAGAGACAACGGACTCTGGAAAGAATGAAATACTATTTTGGCACAGACCATTGACCTACACAACATGATACAAATGTATGACAAACAATACAAATACATGCTAAAAAAGGTCATAACTCAGCATGAGTTGTAGCCAAACCACAAAGCTGATTTTCCATAAGGAAAAAAAATTACTCTAAACACTGGAAGCGCAATTTTGGACAAAATCCACGGAAAATTGTCACAACATTAATAAATTATCTTAAGTATTCGAATTAAAAAACAACACGTGCTGCCAGCCCAATTAGCTGCGGTCTGGTAGCACGCTGTATTTCGGCAAACGCGGTGATTAGTTAGAATTATAGTATGAAGTGCATATATAAGACGGATCTAATTTCATGTTGCTTTTCTATGATTACATTAACGTTTTTACGCTTTGTACGTTAGTATATAAGTTCATTATAAGTCTATACATGTTTGGTGTAATTATATATTTAAGTTTTATTTAAAAAATATTAATTACTTTTAATTGAGACGGATCCGTGGCGCATTGGCTTGGCAATGAGTTGTTGCGCTGGGGGCCGCGGGTTCGAATTCCGTACGGAACAAGTATTTGTATGGCCTACAAATAATTGTTCCGGGTCTGGATGTTTGTCCTCGTGCAATCTATGTTTGTAAACTGCCTCCACGATACAGGAGAAAATCCTAGTGTGGAGGTAATGTTTATAAAAAAAATAAAATGATTCTTTAACTTTTTAAAAAATGAAAAGAAATATATAGATTTCTTTAACATGCCATTGCCTGTACTCAAGTAATAAATGTATTCGTCCTCAAAATGTGTGGAGCACACCCTACTGGTATAAGTTGACAACCAGTTATCCTCTCTTGTTATTATTTTCATTATCGTTCCTACTCTTAGTACGTAGGTATAATAGGTGATTTTAATAAAAGTCTACACGCATCGGATATAATATTATACTGGGTGGCGCCCAGGTTATCACGTTAAATAGCACAACAGTTAATACAAGTTGATATATGTCTGTTAAAATAATAAAATAAACAATAATAAAAACTAATAAAAAATGCATCTTTCAAACAAAATAAATAGGGTAAAAAATCACATAAAATAAATCATCCTTGATAATATTACTTAACTGACCTGAAATGACTTGTAGAAGCGGCAACGTCGCGGCCAGCGGTTCATTGCTCATGCGACATCGATATAGGTAATTATATTATAATACCTAGGTCCTAGGACTTGCCCATACATAGGTAATTAGGCACGCGTAGGGCGATGCTTATCCGATGTTATCAACAAATCACAAATTTCACGGTATTTTTTTATCCAAATAATCACTTTAACCTTGAAATCACTCAAGTTTATGAAACAAATCAAATTTTTAAATTTTCAAAATGTCCGCCGTGTACCCGAATGCATAATTGACATCGTCGCATGATATTATTTCGGACTTTTCGAAAGAGGGCACCATTGGCTGCAAAATTTTTTATTTTGTCGAAAGCCCGCATTATTCTTATTTTTAAGTCCTCGACAGTCGTTACTTCAGTAGAGTACACCTCATTTTTTATGTAACCCCATAAAAAGAAATCTAACGGTGTTAGATCCGGAGACCGTGCTGGCCACCGAGAAGGTCCGTATCTGCCAATCCAGTTCTCTCCGAACATCTCAGTGAGGCGCTGCCTGGCAGCCACCACTGAATGAGCAGGTGCTCCATCAAGCTGGTACCATAACCGGCTATTGGCCCCCAACGATAGTCCATCAACGTAATCCGCCACTGTGTCGTCAAGCAGTTCCAAAAATTTAGGCCCATTAAGGTTGCCTTCGATAAACACGGGACCAATTATTTGATCTCCGTGTATTCCAGCCCAAACATTAACGGCAAATCTATATTGGTGCATAGACTCTCGACACAGTTGCGGATTTTCTTGACTCCAGTATCGTAAGTTCTGCCGATTCCATATTCCGTTACGCGTGAATGTGCTCTCGTCAGTCCACATTACGTTTGCTAAAAAGTTAGAGTCATTAGCTACTTTGCTCAGGAGCCATTCACAGTAGGCTTCCCTAACTGGCTTATCTCTATCTAATAAAGCCTGTACCTTTACGTATTTGAACGGCCGTTGCTTGTTTTTTTTTAATATTCTGTGAACAGACTTGTGGTGTACACAGAATTGGCGAGCTGCTCTACGGAGACTTGATGTTGGATTACGAGTGAAATAATTTAATATTCGTTCTTCCTGAGCCACGGCGACTCGCGGAGGAATTTCAACCTGACGTGGAATCAAATTTTCGCAGTCACGTAATCTTTGGACTGCCCGTATAAAAATCCGTGAGTAGGACATACACGTGTGGTATTATACCTCTCTCGGTATGTTCGTAATGCCAGGGACGCGTTTTGGTGGCATTTTCCATAAATTAAAACCATATCGGTGTATTCCAATGACGTAAAATTGATACGAGGCATTTTAAAATAAAAAAAGTTATACGTTTAAAAAAATAAAAGCGTCCAATTGCGCACGGGCTGACACACCACTAAGTTATTAAATATCACTTATCTATTATTAACGAGTCCTATCACAAATAAAAAATACAAGACAGTAAAAGAAAGCGTCAAATTTCGCACAAATAGTCACACCACCTCCTCAACACAATTATTATTATAGTATTAACGTGTCCTATCACAAACAAATCAAGAAACTTATGAAAATATCCACAAAAAAAAACTTTAAATTAAAAGGACGTGTACGCGAAAAACTAAAATTAGGTCAAGCGATTAATGAACCGTTCCCAAGGACGCCGGCGTCGGACTAAGTGACTTACTGTCTTACTTTATCGTCGCACGCGCCAATCGACCACATCCCACCCTCCCAACACCCCGTCCCAATTCTTGTCGCATCGCGCATAAGAATTATGCCTTATTTTGTTACATATAAGTACATTTTTTGCTTAATTTATTACTTTATTTGATTATTTAAAATTGGCAACGTTGCACTATAATACAATATAGGTCTCTTGGCCTTCACGGGCCATGGGTCTTTGAACTTCTAGTATTTATCAGGTGATATCTGATGCATTTACATGATGTTGTTTAATATTAAAACAAAAAAAAGGCTACCGCGCCCAGAATGTTAATTGTTATATATTTTTTTAGTTGTGTATGTTTAAAGAACTTTGTATAGAATACGTCTTTTCATTTAACGTGATAACTTCATCGTCACTTTGTATATATATACAAGCCATTTCTGATGTTAGAAATTATCCTTAAAATAATTTTAATAAAAGAAAACTACTCAGTAACAAACCATTCTGGAGGCCAATTGTTTACGATATTTAAGGTGTGAAAGCGGATGCTCAACTTGCTATCCTCACACAACCAATCATTATCATCACACGCTACTGGCATTAGTTGACCCACCAGTCATCCTCTTTTCTTTCTAAGCAATTTGCTTTTATACATTGAAACAGAAACTTTTTTATTCAATATAGATTATAAATAATACTTATTGAAAGTCATTCTTTTGTTTAATTACCACTGGTTCGAAAAAAAAAACCTCCGTCCTGGGAAGAACCAGCAAGAAACCCAGCGGGACTTTTTTTTTAAATTACAGCTTACAATCATGTATGTTTATTAGAAATAGCTTGGTAGCGATCACCTCATTTCCGGGGGTTATTATCATCCATAAATTCTTTAATATTATAATAACCCTTTTTATACAAACTTAGTTTAATAAAGTTTTGAACTTTGAGCAGGTCAAATTTTGTATATTTTCTGGAATTTTATTGTAAAAGCGTATACATCACCCCAAGAATGAATTACTGACTCGATGGAGTATTTACAGAATGAATATCACTAATTTTTGTAAAACAACTTTTATTTTTGTGTACGTACATTACATTTTCATAAATGTATTGAGAGGCCATAGTTAATATATTAATTTCCTTAAATTTTTGTCGCAGCGACTCTTTAGGCTTTAAATCATAAATTGCTCTTATGGCCCTCTTCTGTAAAACAAATATAATTTCAGTGTCAGCTGCGTGTCCCCATAGTAAAATACCATACGACATTATGCTATGGAAATAGCTAAAGTAAACTAGTCTAGCTGTTTCAGCACTGGTAAGACTTCTAATCTTTTTTACAGCATATGCTGCAGAACTAAGTCTGCTTGCTAGTTATGATATATGGGGCTCCATTGAAGCTTCACGTCTAGTGTGATTCCAAGAAAAATGGTGGTATCTACAAGACTCAGTCTCTCCCCATTTAAAATTACATTAATATTTAATTGTTTGACATTTGGAGTCATGAATTTCATACATTTCGTTTTAGTGCCATTTAAATGCAAATTATTAACATTGAACCAATTTACTAATTTTAGATATAGCATTATTTACTTCGTCATATTTTAGTAATTGTCGACTTAATTTGAAAATTAAAGAAGTGTCATCTGCAAATAATACTATATCATGGTTATATAGTGTACTATGTAAGGTAAGTCATTAATGTATACAAGAAACAGAAAGGGGCCGCGAATTGAGCCTTGAGGCACGCCCCTTTGTACCATCGATCCGGAAGAGCTCATACTGTTAATGACAACTTTTTGCGTTCTCTTACTTAAATATGAAATAATTAATTTAAGAGCATCACTTCTTACACCGTAGTGTTGAAGTTTCCTGATTAATGTTTCATGGTGAACACAATCGAAGGCCTTGGATAGGTCACAAAATATACCCAAAGCATCCTGTGAATTCTCCCGTGCATTAAAGATATATTTAATTAGCTCAACACCAGTTGTCGAGCGACCTCTTGTGAACCCAAATTGATTTTTATGAAGTAAGTTATTTATATTAAAGAAATTTAACATTTGATCAAGAATAATTTTTTCAAAAATCTTACTAAGTGTTGGTAGTACAGAAATAGGTCTAAAATTGGCGGATCTAATTTACTACCAGATTAAAATAAAGGTATTACTTTACTATGCTTCATTAAATCAGGAAACACACCAGAATCGATACTAGTATTAAAAATAATAGCTAAATGAGGCGCGATTGTATCTATTATAGACGCAATAATTTTAACGGAAATCCCCCACAGATCCGCAGTTTGCTTAACATCAATAGTTTTAAAATATTTTACAATATCTTTTAATAATACTTTATGAAATGTAAAATTCTCTACACGCATTTAATTTTGTTTAAGTAATGATTCGGCGACGGCAGGAGAAGAATTCAGTGACTTAGTGGTTAATATCGGAATGTCAGTAAAATATTTCTCAATAACCATTGCAACGTCCTGATCTGATTCAGTTAATTTATTGTTAACACTTAACTGGTAGTTTGAATTGCGTCAGTTGATCTTACCAGTTTCGCTATTAATTATACTCCATGGCATTTTTTTAGAAGAATTTTATTAGAAGCCGTCTTAATTTTATAGCTCAAATGCAAAGACTTGGCTGTGGAGCATACTCTTTTAAATATTTTTGAATATTTTTTTACATATTCCCTAAATTCTACGCTATGATTATATGACCTTTCATGGTAAAGATCATATAACCTATGTGCGCTCTTATGGACTCCTACTATCGCCCATTCATTGAATGACTTCCGACTGTTCGACATTCTAATTGCCAAAGCTCTTTTTTGGGGAAACTAAAAGTACATAATTAATTGTTTCAAGAAACTTGTTTAGGAAACTTGTGTTTTGGTTAATGGGATTGCCGGTGCAAAGTTTATACGCCACTTGAGTTACATCTTTGCATCATATTTTCCAGTAAATTTCCATATGTCCTATGGTATATCAGCTGAACTGGAATCCTGGTGGGAGAAATGGCAGATGTTAATCCCATATTACGAAAATAATTAATATACAAATCCTTTCTATCGACTTCAAAAAGGAGGAGGTACTCAACTCGACTGTATGTTTTTTTTTTATATGTATTACCTCATAACTTATTTTTGGGTGAACCGATTTCGATGATTCTTTTTTTATTTGAAAGCTGGAGCTGGTCTCATATGAATTTGATCAAGGTCTGACCAATAGTATTCTTAATAATTTAAATTGAAGTTCGTGGTACAAAGTTCTTAATTTTAAATTATTAGTTGCCATCCTTGATAACTTACATCTGCGTAGCTCCAGCAAATTCAACTTTTATAATTAAAACATGCAGTAGAATTAATATGAAAAATGCATTAGAAATGCACAACATATATATGTAGTAAAACTGTCTGGCTACTAGCTGCATAACATTATTTTTACTTAAACAGTTGGAAAAGCAAAATATATATTTTTTTAATATTATAAGTTATCCCGGTATCTTCTTAACTATGTTCTTTCTGTCTTCTAAACTACTTGACCACACAGGAAGTCACTTTCACTAAATATTGTGCGGATTTTTGTGTGTTTACACATCGGAATGCTATTATTTTAAATTAAATATTTTTCACAGATAGAATGGATGAGCGACAAACTAACACGCGCTTTCGAAGGCGCTCGTAGTAACCCATTCGCTCTCCGCCATTTGCAACTTTGCCATTCGGTGGTGGAGGTCACAAGAACACCGGGACCAAAGGTGGTTCTCGCTTCATTCCCCGATCTAGAGGTCGGTTTTGCGAGGGACCTGTTTCTGCTTTGGGCGCCCAACCATTTGAACTCCATTGTTTTGACAGCTAGGTAAAATTTACCAATTAATTAAAAACCATTTACACACATAACTCAACAAATTAATACGAGGATGGATTGATAAGTTTCCGGCCTGACCAAGAGATGGCGCCACTAGGCCTACCTTAAGGTGACATTCTGTAGTACCATCCTTGGATAGCTTGTAGCTATAGTTTCAGCCCGATCGCCTTGCTAGTGTAGGTTTGAGAGCACGCTGAACAAGACGCCTCTGTGTTTTTCGTAAAAATGGAAAAGCAGGAAAATCGTGCTGTCATCAAATACTTTTATTTGAGGGGGTTAACGCCGAAGGAAATTAAAGAAGAGATGGACTCAACACTGGGGACATCCTCCCCGTCATATTCAACCGTTAAGCAGTGGGTTTCAGAGTTTAAAAAGGGTCGTGTAAGCACCTCTGATGAGCCTCACTCAGGACGCCTCGTTGAGGTCACAACTCCAGATATGATCGATAAAAATTCATCAAATAGTGCTGGGAGACCGCAGATTGAAAGTGCGTGAGATAGCTGAGACCTGTAAGATGTCATATGAACGTGTGCAACATATTTTGCACCAACATTTGCATATGGAAAAGCTCTGTGCAAGATGGGTGCCGCGTTTGCTAACAGTCGACCAAAAATTGATTCAAAAAAACATTTCTACCGCAAATTTGTCATTGTATAAGCGTAATCCAAGCGAATTTTTGCGTCGATTCGTAACCGTTGACGAAACTTGGGTCTACCACTACACTCCTGAAACCAAAGAACAGTCTAAACAGTGGATTGGACCAGGGGAACCAACTCCAAAGAAGGCAAAAACAATTTTTTCGGCGAACAAGGTTATGGCTACTGTTTTTTGGGATGCAAGAGGTATTATATACATTGACTACCTTGAAAAGAGTAAAACTATCAATGGTCAATACAACGCAGACTTATTGCAACGTTTGAGCCACGAGGTGAAAATTAAACGACCTCATCTGGCGAAGAAAAAAATCTTGTTTCATCACGATAACGCACCAGCACACACGTCAATCGTTGCGACGGCTAAAATCAACGATCTAAAGTTTGAATTGATGCCGCACCCTCCTTACTCTCCAGACCTAGCCCCGAGTGACTATTTTCTGTTCCCTAACCTCAAAAAATGGCTTGGCGGTAAGAGATTTGCGGACAATGAAGAAGTAATCGAAGCTGTAAATGGTTATTTTGAGGAGCTTGACGAATCAGTCTATAGAAATGGCATTAATAGACTGGAACACCGCTATGAGAAATGTACCAGCCTTGAAGGAGATTATGTTGAGAAATAAAAAATTTTTTTTAAATAACCTTGTTTTTCTTAGTCAGGCCGGAAACTTATCAATCCACCCTCGTATATAACCTCTATAAATTAATATATGTATATATAACCTCTGTCTTGGGCAGATGCAGAAAAAAAATCCAGCAGAGTTTTTAACTTTAATCACACTACTCCTGTATTATGATATCTAAAATATAACTACAGCAAGAATGGGTCTGCTCGACCAGAGAAGGACCATCCTCTATTGTGTCACCAGTTCTCGTTATTCACCATTTCGTATGGACTGGTAACTCTTTCTACACATTCAATATTAGACCTGATAATTTGTGTTTTGATCGAATACAAACGGATTTCAAATAAACATATATCATCAGGTTTAATATGTGGAAAAGCCATGATGTAGCTATATTTATGGTAGTAGTACGAATGGATCAGCATGACCGAGGAGGGACCACATTCTTATAGAATACCAGCCAGTAAAATACTACTGTGTTTCTTATGGTGAGTATAGTTGTCCTTCCATCCCAGATAGTCCTCAGGGATGACAACGCATTTATATTTTGATTCTTAATCGAGGATAGATGTAGATATGTCTATGGGCCACAGCATCCGCTTACCATCAGGTGCAGGTGGACTGTCTGCTTTTTGATAACATTTAACTGTATAAAAACCATTTCCTTGGTCTTCATTTCAGAACATCACCAGGTACATTAGCTCGGGATCTTATAGAGAAAGGCGGGGATCGTACTATTGAACTAACTGTGAAACGTAGAGTGAGACTTGAGGGTGCTGAGTTGGAAGACTTTCTGCAGCAGCAAAGAATAAAGATAAATAACAGTATTAAGTAAGTGATCTGAAAATTCTTCTTTATAAACACATAAATGCAATACGGTTTCAATGGTGTTTTAGTTTTAAATATGTTATAATAATTCAGTACTTAATTTATCACTGTTTGTTTCCCAATAAAAATACTCTCATTAAAGGTCTCTTCCCACTATACCGTACCATACCATGACCGTGCTAGGAACGTGTCAGGCAAATAAATATTATTTGTATTGAAAAGTATGACACTGTTCCCACTAGACCGTTCCGTCACCGAACAACACCGTCGCGTGCCATGCACGGAGCGTCAACAAATGTCGGCGAGAATATTTTGCCGGTGCTGACCTAGTGCTGACACGCTCTGTGCATGACACGCGACGTTGCTAAACCGCTGCGTGCAGGCGGCGAGCCGGCGAGTGTACAGTTTGTAAACGCGTATGACGACCGTTATATAGGCGTTGTGTTTTTTGTTTTCTTTTTCTTCCTCATCAAATATTAAAGCAATCATCGCCAGTTGTCTAACAGTTAATTTTCTGATAGTCATACCTATTTTACAATTTAAAATTTTGGTAGCATTCCAAGATGTCCACGCAACACTGTTACGCATGCGAGAATAAAACTGATTCCTATCGGTTTTGGTGGATGTTGCATACGGGCATCATACGGGTTACATACGTGTTCCATACTGGCATCATACGGGATGTATACGGGCACAGAACGCAGGCGATCCGTTCAGTTGGCATAGTAGAGCGTATCGTGTTGCTTTTCGTGCCTGATACGCTCCTAGCACGGTCATGGTATGATATGGTGTAGTGGGCAGAGACCTTTACTAATTCTGCCGCCATATAGGTGTTTGCAATGCTGTGAGGCATCCCATCTGAGTCCTCAGAGGTTACAACGCATCTGTATCCTTCTTTATTTAAAGTTAAGTCCATGGGCTGCAGGAAACCATTAGAATAGAATCTTCTTCTTTCTTAGTTTTATGGCCCCTCTTTTTAGAATTCTGCCAATATCAAGTCAGTCATGGGAGTGACAAGAGAGTGTTTACAATAGTTACAAGTTATTATTGTTTGTGTAGGTCTTCACAATTAGAATAGAATAGAATAATTTTTTATTCAATATACTTACAGGTCTTTAGGCTCTATATCCATTATAGTTACAGGCTGTGAGGCATTCTATCTTAGTCCTCAAAGCTAACAATTGTCACATCTTTGTTTGAAGATGGTTGCAGGTGTCCATGGGTTGCAGCAACCCTTTTTTTTATACCAGCAGCTATGCAGGTCTAGAGAGACCAGTATCACTGCGACCTAAAAGATCCATTGTGATCGCTGCTATGTTTACAGTTCACTGCTAAGCCCTACGTCCTCAACGAATAGAAGGAGTTGCTTAGCTGTGAGTAATTTCACTTATTCTGGGCGAAGTATATAGTTTCCCAGATGAGTGCTGCGTTTGCGCATTAAGGGTCCGCAATTTGTCAGGATATGTAAAAGCGTTTTCTCCTCTAGGGAGCAAAATCGGTACATCCTTGAGTTGCTTAGTCCCAGGATGGACATGTGCTTTTTAAGACAACAGTGTCCAGTCAGGGCTCTTACCAGAACGCGCACTTTATTTTTACCTAATCCCAGGGGTTCCGAAGCGAATTTTCAGTAACCCCTTACCATAAGGTGGAGTGTATGTTCGTCACTTGTTTTACAAAGTCGACTGCTAGACTCGGGCTCCTGCTCTCATTTCTGTACCGGATGTCTCGCACCTTTGACCCTGCTTCCCTGTTTGACTGTCCCTGTGTTTTACCGCCATCTATCGAAAGCCGTAAGATCTTTTCTGTCAGTGCTCATAGTCGCCTCTTGTGACACTCACAAGGCGAAGGCAATCTGAAAATTAATTTTGGGTTAGTAAAAAAGTTAAATTAAAAAATTTATCTATAAAAATATTAATTAAAAATTTTATTCTTTATAAATGGTTGAAAGATTTCAGCACGATTTTATCTAAAAATTATATCAATCAAGAAATTATTAAAATATTTCATTGTATGTTAATGGTTGAAAGATATTCAAGGTGATTTCATCTAAAAATTATATCAATAAAAATTGTAATTGAATATATTTTATGTAAATGGTTGGAAGCTTTCAGATTTTATGTTCCAATCTGCCGCGTCAAGGAAGATAAGACTTTAAAATATATTTTTATGATAACAATTGATTTTTAAAGATTTTTTTTATCTGGCAACCCCCTAGTAGGATAATGTTTTTTGAGTGTTTATATATACTTGTATATTATGTCTATTTCTTTGGCAGGCTCTTTAGCGTAAACAGCTTGATGGATTTTATCCTGAGGTGTCCGTTAGATTTGTCTTAGTTGTTGAAGTGACATACAAGTGACATATTTACACAGTTTTACATTTAATTACTGTTTTAACCAAAAGGTTTGTTAATTCTACTATGAATGAGTCATATAATGTTTCGTTAAACATATTAAAAGAATATTATAGGTTGCTTCAATAAACTTTTATTTGACAACACTACTTCAACTTATGTGGGTGGTGTACTTATTTAATTATGTAATAGGATATAAGAGTGCATTTATTCGCCTACAAACTGTAAATACAGTTTGGCGAAGTTATAAAATTATGTAATGTTTTTGTAAATGTTGGTAAATAAAAAAAAAAACACTAACATTGATACTAACCTTAGAACCTTTAGAACAATTTTTGCAAATTTCGAAATGGAATAAAGAAATAATTTTGTGATTTTCATTCTCACAATTAGAAATATAAACACACATATCAAACTTAACTGAATTCTTACAGAGAAGAAGCTGGAGGTGTCTCCTCTGACTCGGAGTCAGAAGGGGAATTGGAAATGTATGTAGTGACAGGGAGGCACGATATACCAGTCCGTCACGATACCAGACCCACCGGCTGCTTTAAGAGCAACAAGCGGCACCACGCTATGTACCCATTCCATGAAGAACGCACCAGGTCCGATGATTACGGGGAAATAATACGGGTGAGTGTGGCAACATTATTTGGAAACCAAAAATGGAACTTAGTGTAATGTGTGCTATTTTCTCTAATCACTGTAGTGTAACACAGGCTCGGCACGCAACTTTAGCACGTCCACTCTCGCCCGAGGCTCTTATGTAACTGACGTGGTGCGCTCGAGACAGTGACTTATATATAAATGTATGTTTGTGTATTTGTGCATGGTAAATTATTAGTAAATAAAACAAATAACAATATTTACTGTATACTACATATATGCAAACACTACATCTCTTTCTTATCAAGATTTTTTCTTTTTTTCATTATAACTCATAACAATCACAAAGCAGCTTGTATTGTCTGTATTAATTATTTTCCACTGCTTTTACGTAAACCTTATCTCCCTGTATTATATCTGAGTGAGTTGCTCTGCGTTTCCTATATACATACTCTTTTCCTTTTTCTTTTTTATTTTGTCTCTATTCCTTATATCTGAATCTAAATGATTGTCTGTAATTTATTTCACCTATTGATGGAATTTTATTCCTACTTTTTCGTTGAAAAAAAAAACAGTTCAGACGGTAACCTTCCGGTAACTGTAAGGAGGGGTGCTGTTATACATTAGAAGATACTCCCACAAACATTCTTTTAAATCATTCCTCTCGATCTGGCTGATACGAAGTCGTTTCAAAATATCTCTGTTTTGTCTTTCAACTTCGCCGATCATTTGAGGCCAATATCGTACAGTACTAAATAACTTAATGTTACATTCTTTGCAGAAAGGTCGAAACTCTTCACTAACGAACTGCTTGCCATTGTCTGCGGTGGTAGAAATAGGATAACCAAGTCTACTGAACATTTCTTTTACCATTTTAATAATCTGTAAGCTTGTGATGTTTTTGTAATTGTTTACTTCTTTGTATCGACTATAGTAGTCGACCACTACTAACAGATACTCGTTACTTGGCAATGGTCCCAATAGATCCATTGTGACATCTATCCATGGAGCTGCAGGCAACTTTCGTCTCTTCATTGGTGCAGTTGGGTTTGGCAAACCCACTAACGTACAACCTTTACATGCCTTTACTAATTGTTCTACGTCTTTATCGATACGGGGCCACCATACCTTTGATCTCAAGCGTCCCTTCATCGCTACGATACCTGGATGACCCTCGTATGCAGCATCTAATACACTCTTGCAGACTTGCTGTGGTATAAGTAGAAGTAGAATGCTATCATGGAAACAACTCGTTTTCAAAAAAATTGTAACTTTTAATCGAATCGTCCCAGTCGTTCTGATAGACACCTTTTTTCACTTTGTAAATCTCTTGGTCTTTTTCTGAATATGCTACAATGGAATTCATTGGTATAGCAACTGGTCTAGAATTTTCCACTATTTGGTACATATGCTGGTCTTTTCCTTTTGGTGGGTTATCAGGATAGTTACATAATCGTGACAAGTGGTCAGCTATATTTGTTTTTCCTGGCTTGTATACAACCTTGAATGAATAAGACTGTAGCCTCAGTACCCATCGTTCAATCCTCGCACATGGTTTTGACTTAGACCCGAATAATATCTCTAGAGGCTTGTGGTCAGTGACTAAATCAAAAGGCTTTCCAAATAAAAATATTAAAATGTTCGACCCCCCAATCTAATGCTAGTACCTCTTTTTCCGTTTGGCTATACCTGCGCTCGCAGTGTGTCAAAGTTCGATTACCATAGGCAATAATTCTAGGGCCATTTGTACCATTTTGTACAAGGACAGCACCAAGTCCGACAGGGCTAGCATCTGCTATCACCTGTCTTGCATCTCTGACGTCATAATACCCTAAAATCTGTATTTCGTGAGCATCCGTTTAAGTTTTTGGAACGCTTTATCTTGTTCCCCAGACCATTGTTTTTCCAAGCTCTCCCTTTTGCTCATCTTCTGTCGTAGCAGGTGCTTCAGAAGTTCTGTCATGGCGGCCAAGTTAGGTATCCATTTGTTTATGTAGTTTAAGAGTCCTAAAAAACTTTGGAGTTCTTCTATGGTCTTTGGGACCCTAAATTTCATAATGCTCTCAACGTACTTGTTGAAGGGTTTACTCCTTCATGTGTAAGCCTGTGTCCCAGAAAATTCACATCCTGCGTTTTATATATGCATTTATTGCTATTCAGCACGGCGTTGTTTTTACTAAGTACCTGTAGAACTTTCTTTTGTCATGCGTCATGTTCTTCTTCACTGTTCCCGAATACCAGGATATCATCAATAAAATTGACGACCCACAGTTTATCAGCATCCTTTCAATGATCTTCTGAACAATCTCGGAAGCGTAGGTAATTCCAAGCATTATTCTTTTATATCTATATAATCTTTTGGGGGTTATGAAAGTCGTTATGTGTCTGGATTCTCCTTAAAAAAACTCCTTCCATCAATGGAAGGAGTTTTTTTATGTCTAATTTGTTAAAATATTTAGCTTTCTTCATTTTAGGCAAAAATGGTCCATAGTAGGCAGGGGGTGGTTTTCTCGCAATATAACGGCGTTCGTACATCTCATATCTACGCACAATCGTAATTAACCATTTTCTTTCATGATTGGAACATTGGTGAAACCCATTTAGACGGGCCTTGCACTTCTTCAATTATATCACTGTTTTGTGATTCCTTAATTTTGATTGCAACCTTCTCTTTAATGGAGATCGGTACGCTCCACTTGATTTATCCCGATACCAAGTTTTAAGACACCCAGACGGACTGCTGTGTTCTTACCAAACAGGTCTCTAGTACCCCCCGAAATCACGTAAATGGTTGTATGTTCCTTTCGTCCATCGACTTCGAGTATAGTTTCAAATGAACCCTCTATTGCCAAAGGAGAGTTACTACCATATGCTAATAATGTCTTGTCTGGTATTTACATTTGATTAAAAGCATATACTTTTTTGCTTTTTAACTCTTCCCACGTTTTGTAAGATATAAGGTTCTTGCGCAATTTCGAATTACACTTTTCCGCAATTTGATATATGAAATGATCATCTTGCTTTTCGAATGCACACTTTTCGGCCTGTTGACGCAATCGTATCAAAAACTTCTCAAATGTTTCTCCTTTTTCCTGTTTTAGCAATCGAAAAACATGCCGTTCATAACTTTGCTCCGTTTAGGTTGAAAATACTCGTAGAGTTTTTTTATGGCTACTTTAAATACATCAACGGTTTCTGATGATTCGACATTGGCACCCGGTAAATTGTAGAATATTTCTTGTATCCCAGAGCCACCAAAATGCAATAGCGTAGCTCGTTTCTTGAGTGCTGATATAACTTCAGCTGCGTCCAGATAGATTAGTAGAGACCTTTTCCATTTTTCACACCTTATAGCCATAGATGTGATATCACATTAAAGCTGATAACGGTATCATTATTATTATTATTTTAGGGGCAAACTGAAACAGTTCTTATTTTTTTTCCAATTTAATGGTAGTAACTTAGTACCCAAAGTCCAATTTAATGGTAGTAACTTAGTACCCAAAGTCCAATTTAATGGTAGTAACTTAGTACCCAAAGTCCAATTTAATGGAAGTAACTTAGTACCCAAAGTCCAATTTAATGGTAGTAACTTAGTACCCAAAGTCCAATTTAATGGTAGTAACTTAGTACCCAAAGTCCAATTTAATGGTAATAACTTAATACCCAAAGTCCAATTTAATGGTAGTAACTTAGTACCCAAAGTCCAATTTGATGGTAGTAACTTAGTACCCAAAGTCCAATTTGATGGTAGTAACTTAATACACAAAGTCCAATTTAATGGTAGTAACTTAGTACACAAAGTCCAATTTAATGGTAGTAACTTAGTACACAAAGTCCAATTTAATGCTAGTAACTTAGTACACAAAGTTCAATTTAATGGTAGTAACTTAGTACACAAAGTTCAATTTAATGGTAGTAACTTAGAACCCAAAGTCCAATTTAATGGTACCTTAGTACCCAAACTCCAATTTAATGGTGGTACCTTAGTACCCAAACTCCAATTTAATGGTGATACCTTAGTACCCAAACTCTAATTTAATGGTGGTACATTAGTACTCTAACTCCAATTTAATGGTGGTATGTTAGTACCCTAACTCCAATTTAATGATGGTATCTTAGTGCCCTAACTCAATTTAATGATGGTATCTTAGTACCCAAACTCAATTTAATTATGGTATCTTAGTACCCAACTCAATTTAATGATGGTATCTTTGTACCCAAACTCAATTTCATGATAATAATATGTTCCATAACATTCGCCCTTCTCTTTCGGTTTATTTGTTATACCGACTACTTCCATTGCTGTGCCATTTAGGCTTTGGGTAAATTCAATACCTATAATGCGCATTTACAGTATTACTAGTTACCTACTTTGCAATATACAGAAGTCGTGAAGTGTCCACGATTTTTTGTAAGACTTATATATGCCATGAAAGCGGTAAAATAGTATTTTCATTAAATGCGATAAATATCACACCTACATGAAAAATGCCACTAAAATTTAGCTAACGACATTGTATTTCGGATCGAATCGAGAGGAGTGATTAGTAACATCTACTATTTTTCCATCAAAAAATCTTTTTAAATAAAAGTTGTGCTAATAGACATATTTAATCATTGCTACATAAAGAAAATAAATTTTTGCACACCATAAGCGTGGTCATATGCGAACATATAATTTATATAAATTATTAAAATGATCAGAACAGGGTTAAAAACAATAAATCATAATTCATAATCCACAGTTTTTTTCCGCGGGTACTCTAGGAATTAATTTACAATTGCAATGCTAATAGTTGCACATTGCTAACCAATTTTTGATTATATCTTTATACTAAATAGGTACTTATCTTTTTCCTCGTCGCCACTTGTAATGTCTGCTATCTTCTCTAATCACTGTAGTGTAACACAGGCTCGGCACGCATTTAACTAAACACGTCCACTCTCGCCCGAGGCTCTCGTGTAACTGACATGGTGCGCTCGAGACAGTGACTTATATATAAATGTATGTTTGTGTATTTGTGCATGGTAAATTATTAGTAAATAAAACAAATAACAATATTTACTGTATACTACATATATGCAAACACTACACTAAGGGTTACCATTATAAGTATCTTACCCCATATCATGACGCAGATGTCGTAAGATAAATGAAACAGGAGATGTGCAGCAGTGTCTTCTTGATAACGACTAAAAATATTAAAAAAACTACGGTTGCAAGGAAGTTTATGTTTAGCAGTGATTTTTTGATAAGCCGTAATGATGTTGTATTTTCTTTCAGCCGGAAGACTACAGGTTAGCGGAAATAGTTGATGCGGAAGGAGAGATCCGAGATGTTCCGCCAGCGCCTCCGCCAAAGCAAGAGCCTGACGGTATGATTTGTTTTATACAAACTTATATTATGACATCACAAATCCCTAGTAGGCCTCTCCTAAAAACAAAGCTATATCCCTGAGCAGGACCTGATTTACCCACAGGCTAATCAGGCTGATTCGAGGGGGCGTCGAGCTTGCATTATAACTTATGTACAGAATAAAATTTGGTATAATATTCTCAATTAATAATATAGTAAGTGTCGCAAGCATTCTATTTGTTGCTAAAACAAATTAATCTATTGTAAAAAATAAGATTTTGAATTATTTTGTACTGAGTTTGCTCTGACTTTGACCTGGTTTACCAAGATAACAAATACATTTTTGAAGGATCTGGAGGCGGAGTTGATGCGTCAGCCCAGGCCCGGTAGCACTCCTGCTTGTAGCGTGATGCAATTTTACAGATGTGACCAAACCATGGCTGAGTTCTGCCTCCGATAGGCACCACAGATGGTGGAATAAATAATTCCATTCCCTGAAGTACATCAGCGACAGAATCAGCAACAACGTTGAGATCATCCGGCGAGAAGCAAAAAAAGACCGCATTTCGTCCCAATCGGCCGACCTATAGTGCCAAACACGGCGACAAGCTGCAGATCGCAACTGCGATGGGAGCGTGAGTAGCACCGTACTCCGGATCAGACAATGGTCCGAAGAGCCAAGAGGGGCATCGACGGAGACCTGATACCCGTCCGGATGAGAGGTCAGCAGAAGGTCCAACAGGGAAGGTACATGATCCTCCACATCTGGGATCCGCGTAGGCGAAGTAACCAGTTGTGTGAGACCATTTTTTTTTTCGTGGGGAAATCCTCATGGATACCTCCGGCTGCGGGGGCAACCGGAAGGTTATGCCGGACTCCTACCGGCTAAAACCCCACGGTGGTCTCCATCAGCGTGTACGAGGGGTCCCGGGATCTCCGTTCGGAACACAACCGGGGCCCCTCTCTCGCTTCGCTTTATTGGAAGCACGTCCCAGGGGCAGAACTTACTACCCCCAGCACCCTCGCAGTGCTATCACGATGTCTCGGGACCACTTCCGAGCCATCGTCCTCCTCGAGGGTTACGTTACTAGGCATTCGAGGCCCCCGCTCCAAACGCCTGCAACCCCAGAGGCCCCGTTTCTGGTAGGGGAACACCATCTTCAGAGGGAGGGCCGTGACGAACGCCTTGATGATGTCGTCTCCGAGTGGGATCTGTCCTCCTCCGATCCCGCTCAGCAGCCTCCTTCTGGACCATTACGGACTCACAGAAGTTGGCTACGGCCCTCCACGCCGAGTCCCCGCTCAACATCGCCGACACGACTGCTGGCAGGGAGAGGTCCCGACCGACCTGGTTGGCCAGAATCATTCGCTCCCGTTCCCACGCTGGACATACCGCCAGCGTATGGGACGCAGAGTCCTGATCCTGTCCACCGCAGTGGAAGCAGTTCGCCGTCGCTTCGCGTCCGATCTTACACAGATAATCACCGAAGCACCCGTGCCCGGTAATTATCTGTGTAAGTCTGTAGGTGAGTCTTCCTACTCGTCGCTGCATCCAGGCTTCGAAGACCGGCAGGATTGCGCCAATAACGCGTTTGCGTGCATAGTGCTCCTCGTTAAGTCGAGTGCGCCACATCGCTAAAGCGTTCTGTCGCTCCTGCCGTTTTATAGACTTGAGCGCCTCATCTGGCTCACTGCCACCTCTCTGACGGAGGATGCGGATTTGGTTGTACACCCTCGCATCCATATCCGCCAGTATATCTAGGGGTGGGAAGCGAGCCAGGACTGTTGCCGCCTCAAAAGTTATCGTGCGGTATCCCCGCACGATCCGTATAGCCATCCTCCGCTGGACACTGTAGATTTTAGATCTACAGCGCCGGATGGCTAGCCTTTTCGCCCACACAGGTGCCCCGTATAAGGCTACGGATCGTACTACCCCCGCATAGAGGCGGCGTATTTCCTCCCGCGGTCCCCCTAGATTGGTCAGCAGTCTGTGCATAGCACCCGCCACCCTCTCAATCCGGGGGACTAGGCGCTCAAAGTGCTCTTCGAAGCCCCAGCGACTGTCTAGGTGGAGCCCTAGGTACTTCATGTACCGCCCCACTCTGACTACAGACCCACCCACGTAGACGCACGAGTCGGGTGGTTCCCTGCTCCGAGGTAATTTGTGAAACCACAAGGCCTCGGTCTTATGAGGCGCTATTTCTAGACCCAACTCGTGGATTTTGGCGACGACGACTTCCGTCTCAAGCTCAGCGAGCTCCTTGGTCCCCTCGAAGGTGACCCCGCTGGCGACCACCAGTGTATCATCGGCATAGCATACGATATTTACGCCAGCAGGAAGGTCGACACGCAGAACTGCGTCGTACGCGAGGTTCCACAGTAGCGGCCCCAGCACTGAGCCCTGTGGAACCCCACGTTTGATCTCCCTCCGTATATTCCTACCATCTTGCCCCATGTACAGAATGTACCTGTCGCGCAAGTAGTCCCCGATTACGCCTTGCAGGTAGGAAGGCACCTGGTGGTATGCTAATGCCTTCCGTATTGTATCCCAGGGTAGAGAGTTAAAGGCGTTGACAATATCAAGACTTATTGCCAACGCCACACCACCCTGGGATATTGCTTGTTCCGACAGGGAGCGCACGCGCATAATGGCATCTACGGTGGAACGCTCCCGTCGGAATCCAAATTGGCTTTCTGCCAAATCGGGACCGACGCGCGACAGATATCCGTTGAGCCGAGTGGCAACTATTCTTTCGAACAATTTGCCAATCTCGTCCAACAGGCATATGGGACGGTACGCAGAGGGAGAATCGGCGGCTCTGCCTTCCTTCTTCAAGAGGACCAACCTTGCTTCTTTCCATGCTGTGGGGAACTTGGCACTCCGCAGGCAGCCGGTAAACAGCTGTCTTAGCCTATCCCCCAAGGCAGCCAGACTCAGCATCAGAGCCCGACCAGGAATTCCGTCAGGCCCCGGTGCGGTGTTCCGGGCTCTCAAACGGCTAACGGCTCGGTCCAGCTCCTCCACGGTCACCTCCATCTCATCATGCCACTCCAATGACGACGGCAGGTGACCTGAGGGACTTGACCGGTCCTCTGGGAAAAGCGTGCCGATCACTCTTCCCAGCAGTTCCGGATCGAGAGTTTCCGTCAAGGGCAGCGACCATGGCCGGAGTTTTCCCAGCACCATCCTGTACGGTCGCCCCCAGGGATCTTCGTTGAGTCCCTCTAGGACAGGGGTCGGCATGTAGTTTTAGGTGGGGTCCGGATACTGTGGGAATATTTTAACGAGGTCCAGAAAAAAAAATTGATAATAATTAAGTGCTACCGATGTATTATTTTGGTTTCAAATCAAATTCTGAATTATAAAACATAAGACTAAAATCAATCTGAGAAACTACACCGACGGTCTTGAGCCAGTTTTTTATAACAGCAAATTCGAAGTGAGTCTTCTAGGTGAGCGTCCGTTAATCTCGAACGATATTTGTTTTTCAAAAAATTCATCTTTGAGAAGGATGTTTCACATACGTATGTCGAGTCAGACATAGTGGCCAAATTTATAGCTAGTTTCTTGCAATTTTCATATTTTTCTGGGACATGTTTGGCTCAAAATTCTTCAGTTATACATTTTCAAAGACACTTTACCTCCATTTGAAGTGATGGCTTTGACAGATTAAAGAACTTGGAAGTCACATTCGTCCATTCTGCCACTACATCAACTTCAAATGGCGATTTAAGAAACGGAGATAGCTTGCCCACCTCTGCAGTCTTGGAATCTTGTAGCAAATTCCTTCCTAAGATCGGCCAGAAAATGTCTTCTTCAGAGTTCTCCTTTTATATTCAAGAATTGTCTGAACTCTGAATAACTTCCGTAATAATGGTATGTAGTTCAATCTATGGATATTTCGTGTGCGCAACCAAGATTTAAATCACATCAGTCATAACTAATTCGCACAAACACGGACACACAGGCTAAATAGGGAACTAATCAAACCATATCAGTTGTAGGTACTTGTAAAACAGGTTAACTAGGCAACTTAAAATAGAACAGGTACTAAGTTAAATTCTATGTGGCTTAAAATATTTTTTCAAATAATAAAGGTATAGTATACCTTATCTACATATTAATTTATACTTGGTATGCAATACATTACAATATTTGGCGGTCCTAGGTTCGACTTTTAGCGGTCCGCAAACGGACCGCGGTCCGTCTGTTGCTGACCGATGCTCTAGGAGCTCTTTCCAGGACCGAGACCTGGCGTTAGATATAGCGATTTGTAACGCCTTTGTAGCCGCTCGGTATGCCCCGTAGAGTCTGGCTATATCCTCAGGTGGAGCTCGCCGTCTTCTCCGTCGGGCTCTAGTGTACTGGCGCCGACACCGTAAGCAGATTGCACGGAGCCGTGCAATTTCTGCCGACCACCAGTACACCGCCCTGCGCTTGGGACGACTGGCTCTGGGCATCGAGACGTCGCATATTTGCGCCATCGTAGCTCGGAACCGCTCGTTGTGTGTGGAACCGCGCTTCCACTTCCGGATCGAGCGGAACCTCTTCGGCTTTTTCTGGCCAGGCCGCGACGATGGCGGCGGCTTCGAGCTTGTCTCGGTCAAGCCGCTTGAGACACCAACGCCGCGGTGGGCTGCCTTCTGGACGACTGGAGTTACTGTCCAAGTGGCGAAGTGCGACATCGAACACGATGTGGCGGTGGTCTGAAAGTGTCACCACCTCTGTCGCCACTCGCCATCCCGACAGCTTTCGCATTGCAGGAGGAGTTGCCCACGTAAGGTCTACAATGGACTCCCCCTGCCACCGCACACATGTACTCTCAGACCCCCGATTTAATAGTCGAAGGTCCAGACCAGCCGCCCATTCCATTATGATCTCTCCCTTTGGATCGTCCCTAGAGTTGCCCCAAGCCCTGTTATGGGCGTTAAAATCTCCTAGGACGATCGACGGACGGGGTAAGCACCCGCGCACGCAATCCGCTACCTCGTCCATGTACTCCTCGTAGTCGGCGAGGG